CTAAACTAGACATGTGAACACAGTCTGCCGGAACTGTCCAGATTTGGGAGGTGTAAACAATGCTGATCTTTTGGAGAGAGTAAGCTGTTTTGCCCACTTTTGTGGGAAATTTTGGAAGAGCAGCGAGGAGGCAGAAAAAAGAGATAAAACTACTTTGTTTTGTTTAATAAAAGAGTGTGTATTTTCTTTACTCAACACACTGAATTCATAGGAAGGTGCTGGTACTCTCCTTTTTTTTTCAGATAAGTGATAAACTCTAGGCTTGTAGGCAAATAGTGTATGAGAACTATTTCTAAATGACAAGTGTCCGGCCCCCATAGTGAGTGATAAACTCTGAGGAAGTTAGCAGGTAGCATATGAGAACTATCTCTAAATAACAACTGCCAAGTTATGAAGCTTAAGGACTACTTCCCAGACTGTTTCTACTTTTACAAACACTTGTATTTTTTAAAAATTTTGGATTTTTGTGGAAAAAAAGTAATCATCAGGAAGAGTTGTTTTTGATTATAATATTTTAAATATATAATAAACATGACAAAGTCACTATTACACAAAGTATTGATTTTGTTAATCTTTATGTTTAGATATTTAATCCTATATATCTCAATAACTACTAGCTCGATTTTGATGATCTAACCACAATTTAACTCAAAATTATCCTCTCTACAACTTTGTTTAAAGCTTAAAGATATCTTTACTTAATAACTTTTCAAATAAACTTAAAGAAACTATAATTGAACCTACTTCAGGTTTAATATAACCTACTTTGGGATCAAAATACAGTATACAAAAAGTAGTTTTTTGTAATTATCTTGACAACTAGCAGTCCAATCTGGATGAATTTTTTTTAAAATAAAAGCTCTTGGTGAGCACATCCAATAAAAAGAGTTTATTTAATTCTAATTACTAGATTCTAAAATATTTAAGAAACAATAAATTTTTAATTTTAATAAATTAAATTAAAATTAAGCAAAACTAAATTATAATCTATATTAAAGATAAAATTATTTAAATTAATTTGCTTTAAATTTAAATTTTATTTTATTTTATATTAAATCTTTTTTGTACATTGCATAGATTTATAGTTTAATAATTATAAAAGTTTTACTATATATTTATTTTATTTTAAAATTATATTTATAAATTTTATAAGTTTAATCCTGTGCATTATTGCACAGGTTTACAACTAGTAAATAATTAAATATAAATTAAATAAAATGTAAAATAAAATATAAATAAATATAAAATCATATAAAATAAAATAAAATAATTAAAAAATACCATAGTTATAAATAAATTTAACAAATATAAAAACATGCAAAATATATAAATTAAAATAAATTAGATATAAGCCATGTAAAATAAATAAAAAATAAGTAAAATAAATATAAAATATGCAAAATAAAATAAAATAAAATAGAATTAATATATTTGTAACCATAGGTTACAATAAAATTTTGTAACCATAATTAAGATCAGGTGTAACATTATTATCAAAACAATTTTTTTTTATAAAAATAAAACCTTGCAATTAAGGTTAGAGTTAGGGTAAGGCTAGGAATAGAAAAAAAACATAGTTTATATCAAAATTTAGCAAAGAATTTTTTTTGTTAAAGCATAAAAGATAGTTTCATAGTCAAAATTTTGAGTTATTAATAATTTTTTAAAAAATCCAGTTTTTGTTTTGATTTCATGTTATACCTGATCTTAAAATTTGATTGGCTTTATTGGATACAATTACAGTAACCGTGGTTACAAATATATTAATCCAATAAAATAAACATGCAAGAGGTGTGGCGACTTAGTGTAGTAGTCTAGTCGTCACCCTCTCCAAGTGGCAAGTCTAGAGTTCAAATCCCACAGATGAAAATATTTGAAAAATAGGCTTGTGTTTCAGTTGATAGCTATGCTTATCAGTTGGATCTAGAACTAATTTGTAATTTCAGTCACACTATTTTGTAATGGAAGCTTTGGTACAATAAATCTGAGAAACTGGCATAACCGAAAACTCATTTGGCAATTCCTGAATTGGGAGTAGCAGTGATCTTTGACGGTATCACAGGAAGGCTAAATTCGAACCGGGGCCTGAGATCAGAGAACTGAGTGACTAGGTCTGCTAGCAGAGGACATATTAGCCGAACTGCCAGGTTGTCGCACCGGAGGAAAAGGATATATGCTCCAAAAGTATGGACCAAGGGGAGAGCATCTCTCAGGTATCTAAAGCCTGGCAGACCAACACATCCGAGTTGTCAGCTGGAAGTAAGGAAGAGACCAGTAAAGAATCCAGGTAAGAAGATGGTTAGAATGTGGGTACTGGGGTTGTTGTAAACTTTATAAGGGCAGGAGTATGTAATGAAAGACTAATTAAAAAGGTTGTATTTGAGATACAGATCGGGTTATAGCAGCACCCCAAAAGTTGGCTTGAGATACAAACCTGGTGGCAGTAGTACAACAGGTACTAGTTAGGGAGAAATTACTAAACATGCAGGTAAAAACATATATGGGACATGGACTACTCTGTTAGATTTATCTCGTGGATAAAATAGACTTAATATAGGTTTAGTAAGTCCTAAGGTGGGCGCGAAATCTATAGGTATTGCAAAATCTACTTCTAAATAGTAAATTATGCCTTGGTTAGGTAGAAGCCACTGGTGATTGTAACCAGAGGGTTTAAATAGATACTTCCCTAGTTGGGTACAGATACGGCAGATAGTATAAAACCTTTGGGCGGACTACTTAAATAGGCACTCAAAAAGTGCATGTGTAGCTTGATATACCTTCGTTATAATTATATAATGTCGTTTCTATTTAATAAAAAGTCTCTGGCCAAAGAGGTCACCTTAATACTGAAAAAAAAAAATAAACATGCAAAAAAATACTAATAAAAAATAATTAAATTAATTATATAAAATTAAATTAAATAAATTAAAGGAGTTGTTATTGCCACCTCTCAATTTGTTAGTACTACCTCACAAAAATAAAAAATTTAAAACCTTTGAGTAAAGATATATCAACAACTACTCACTTAAATCTGATGAAACCTTTTTAGATTTAAATTCTATGGATTCATAGAATTCAAATAAAAAAAATTTTATCAAATTTATCTATATGGTTGTCGAGATATCTTCACTCAAAATTAGAGGAAAATCAAAATGTCTATAAAGTAGGGATTGTGCAAAATTTTCTCTAACTTTGAGTGAAAATATCTTGATAACTACCTAACCAAATTTGATAAAACTTTTTTTGTTTGAATTTTACAGTATATAGAATTCAAATAAAAAAATTATTATTGAATTTAGTCAAGGGTTACAGAGATATCTTCACTTAAAATTAAAGAAAATCAAACTGTCTATCAAAATAGAAGCTATACTAAATTTTCTTTCTAACTTTGAGCAAAGATATAGTGCTACAAATTGACAAAAATTTTTCAATTGATTAGTTGACAACCTATTTTATCCAACTAATCAATTAATCAATTTTATTTCAACTAATTGATTAGTTAACCAATCAATTAGTCAACTAATTGACTAATTGATTAGTTGACCAATCGATTAGTCGACTAATTGACTAATTGATTAGTTGATTAATTGATTAGTATTAGTTGACCAATCGATTAGTTAATTAATCAACTAATCAATTGATTAACTAATTGATTAGTCACTTTGTGCATCCAAAGTATATGCCAGGATAATAATTTTTGCTATTAGAAAAGATTTGTAAATAAATATATATTATTTATATATAATAATAACACTATAATCAATTAGCCAATCGATTGGATTAGCGATTAGTCAACCAATCGACTAATCAATTAATCAATTAATCAACTAATCGATTAATCGACTAGTTGACTAATCGATTAATCAACTAATTGATTAATTGATTAATCGATTAAGTTGGTTTGGTAAAATAGAATCGATTAGTTGTCAACTTGATCAACTAATTGATTTTTCAACTTTCGATTTGTAGCACTACAAAGATATTTTGTTAACTATCTAACCAAATTCGATATTTAAATTCTATGGATTCATGGAATTCAAATAAAAAAATTTCATTGCATTTAATCAAGTGTTTGTCTAGATATCTTTGCTCAAAGAAAAAATCAAAATATGTATCAAAATAGAACCTATAACAAATTTTCTTTCTAACTTTGAGCGAAGATATCTCAATATCCACTTGATTAAATACAATGAAATTTTTTATTTAAATTTTGTGAATACATAGAATTGAAATAAAAAATTTTTATTGAATTTAGACAGATCATTAACGAGACATCTTTGTTAAAGTTAGAGAAAAAATTTATATTTTGATAGGCATTTTATTTTTCTCTAATTTTGAGCGAAGATATCTCAATAACCACTTGATTAAATTTGAAGAAAATTTTTTATTTGAATTCTATGAATTTATAGGATTCAAATAAAAAAAGTTTTGTTGAATTTGGTCAGATAGTTATTGAGATATCTTCACTCAAATTTAGAGAGAAATTTGGCATAGCTTCTATTTTGATAAGCATTTTTAGAATTTTTTTATTTGAATTCTATGAATCCATAGAATTCAAATCTAAAAAGTTTTATCAGATTCAAGCAGGTAGTTGTCAATATATCTTCGCTCAAAGTTTTTAAATTTTTTATTTTTGTAGGAGTGGCACTAACAAATTGGGAGGTAGTAATAACAACTCTTTAAATTAAATATAAAAGTATAAAATAAAATAAAAATAATTAAAAATAAATTAAATTAACTTAAATATAAAAACATGTAAATTAAATAAAATAAAATATAAAAATGTGTAAATTAAATTAAATTAAATTAAAAAATTTAAAAAATATAAAAATAAATAAAAATAATTAAAAAATAATTAAAATAAATCAAATTAATTTAAATAAAATATAAAAATATGTATATAAAATAAAATAAATAATTACAATTATTATAAAATGCACTTATGGTGGTTTTACACCTATTTGTGTAACTATATAAATTATACATAGAACATGTGCATGATGTGTTATGTGTAACTATATATGATCGATAAGATCATATACATGATGCAATATAGCTTTTACTTTTATTGACTTTTACCTTTACTGACCTTTACTAACCTTTATTATCTGTTAAATATTTTAAATATGCGATTTTTACTTCATATAACTATATAATAGTTAGTATTGCACCTACAACTTGCATATTTGTTAATAGAACCTAAATAGTAAAGCTCTTTTAAAGATAGCAAATGAAGATGAATTTGACTTTTCCAAATTATGTTTTGCAAGTTTTATTGAGCCAAATATGTTTGACGAACCTCTTAATGAGCAACCACAAATAATAGACAAAACTAATGAATTAACTGCACCTGAAACTGAGATTAACGAATTTACTGAGACTAACAAATTTACTGATTTAGAAAACGAATTATATTCTTTAACAAAGAGACAAAGCTTTATAGATTGAAAAGATGTTGAAAGGTATCAATGAAGTGTTTTTTTTTTTTTTTTTTATATATATTATCAAGTATTAATTTGTGAAAGTTATCTTGCCAAACATGGGCATAAATGAGGGTTCATCTTTTCATTAACAAAAAGCGAGTTGGATAAAGATAACAAAATTCCAAGATATCGTATTTATTACTGTTTAAAGGAATGTCACTATGAGGCAAAAAAAAAAGCACATGTATTAAAAGAAAGGAATAAAGAACATGAAAGTACTGGGTGTAAGTTTTATATTAACTTTCAAAGGTGAAAAAATGACAACCAAATACATATCTCAGGTATAATTGGCAAACACTCATATCCAATAAGTGAAAATGTACAAATGGTTGCATCTCAGTACTGCCAGCTTATACCAGAAATGCAGGAGGATATTGAGCTCTTTGCTTCTAGCAATGTATATACTAGGGCAATAATTAATATATTAACGCACAAGTACCCAGACCAGTATATATATGCACGTTGTGTTTATAATCTTGTTCAAACTATCAAAGCAGAAAAAAGGAAGTTAAGCGATGCAGGGGCAACTTACAAAGAATTAATACATCGCAAACAAGAAATGCCTGGTTGGTTTGTTAATTTGAAATTTGAAAGAAGTGACAATCATCTTGTAGGACTTATATGGCTTCACCCTAAGCAAATTGACATCTGGAGTTATTTTCATAATGTCATCTTACTTGATATGACCTGCAAAACCAATTGGTTTAATATGATTATATGTGTAGTTGTTTGTATAGATAATCATAATAGGTTTCATCTTGTTGTAACAGCTTTAATAATTGATAAACAAAAAGAAACTTTTGAATGGATCTTGCAGGGGTTACTTAATGCAACAGGTTATTGACTTACTAATTTGTTATATATATATGTTTTTAGTTTATATTACCTATTAATTTTTTTTTTAATTAATTAAGAGGATTGTTACTGAAGATTGTTTATACAAATGCGAACCCAGCTTTAACTAGTGCAATAGAGTGTGTATAGCCTAATATGAAGCATCATTTCTGTTTGTTTTATATTAAAAAAAATTTTAAAAAGCACTATCTTTTTAAATTTGGTAGAAAAAAATTTAGAGAGTTCTTTACAAGTTTTTGTCATGCATGAAATAGCACTACAGAAATTGTTTTTGAACAAAACTGGCAAAAGGTCATGGATTTATATTCTGAAACATAGTTTTATTTGAAACATTAGCTTTATCCTCATTAAGAAGCATGAGTTCTTGCATTTACACATTGGTTTTTCAATTGTGGCATACAGTTAACCCAAAGAGTCGAAGATTATAATGTAATCCTTAAAAAACTATTAAATGGAACATTATCATTACTGAAAGTGGTAGGTATAATTGAGCGACAACTTATAAAAGAGTCACAATTTGTAAGATTCAACAAAACCAGTAGAGAGTTATTTTGTATCATATCGAGACTACTATTTTATAGCAATTGATGAAGTATGTACAAAGTTCCTTACAACAGCAATACAAAAATTGCAATATTATCAGATGGATCAATGCCCTTACTATCAAGCTTATCATACAAATTTGGAGGCTGAATTTCAATAGCGAGATATTAGTGAAATGGTATATTAATGCAACTGCAAGTTTTGACTGTTATTTTTAAATTTTTGCTGGTCAAATGAGCTAGTTTTAGATGAATTATTAACACATTGGCTTGAGTTTATTATTTTTTTTTTATTAATTTTTATTTAGAATCTATCAGAAGGCATGTTTAATGAGGATCTGTACGATGAAGTTCTGATTGAATTGACTGAACTTATTAATGGGATTAGCCCTAATGATGTCAGAGAGGTTTGGGTAGTATCATGTATGGATTGAAAAAAATATTATTTTGTTGTACTATTCAGTAATACAGATCATTTATATATGTGTTTGACACTCGTAAATCATGGCATTATTTGTTGTTATTTTTTTGTTGTTTTACTGAAAAGTGAAATAGCACAGTTTTATATTGGAATCTTGGCAAAACGTTGGTTTAATGATCGAGTGATACAAAAAAATGAAGAGATCAGTAATAAACATGCAATTTCGATTAGAAGTAGTCAAGATTTTGGTACTTTTGAACATGAAACCTAGATTGACTTTACTTTGATTGATTCAATATGTAGACATTGTGTTTTCACACCTAAGATACAGTATAATGTAAAGAATTATTCTCTTTATAATAAAGAGTTTGGTTTGATGAAAAAAGCCTTAAATCTTGCAATTGAAACTGGTTGTACTGAGAAGTTGTATGAGATATATCAGGAGCTTATAGCAAATATAGAACAGCAACTTGCCGAACCAGAAGGAAATATTATACAATCAAATAATAAAATTATTATGCATTAATTAACAACCCACTAATGTCACGAACAAAAGGCTGAAAGTGCTAAAAACACATAGCATCATTTAATAATAAACTACGAAAAAGGGTATTAAAGGAAACAACTAATATTCAACATAGTGAAAATTTGATAAGGACAGATAGTTTTAACGTTAGTAGTAAGTTAATCGGCATAAGTGGTATTGAAATAGATAAAACACAAGTTCAAACAAGTTAAGCAGATGATTAAAATAAAAATACACAAGAACAAAGCCAAGGTAAGGGTTAGGATTAGAATGTACTGTTTTTTTAGTTTTTTTTTTTACGTATATGTTAACCATCTTTATTGATATTGTTATTAAAATAATTATTTTAGGAACAAGTATAGTAGTCAATAACGAAGACATATTACAATCAATTTCACAAAGTAAGCATACATATGTTAACTGGCTTTATAATAAGTATTGGTATTATTATTAAAATAATTATTTTAGAGGCGGATATAGTGGTTAATAATGAAGACGCATTGCAATCAATTACTCAAAGTATTGTATTCAATGAGTTTTGTACAAAACACATCTTTATTAACACACAAAAATACATTTTTAGACAAGAAAAAATATGCATATATATGCGGTATTTGTGGTAAAGATAGTTATCGTAGATCTACTTGTTCTAACAAGAAGTAATAAGTATTGTATTATGTGTTATATCTGATATGTATATAGTATTTATATATGTATGCAAGTATATATGTATATACGTGTATTGAATTCAAATTCATAATGCTTCGCATTATCATTATTTCATGTTCCAATAGTTTGCAAGTGCTAGACAGAATTATTATATAAAAAACATGATATAATAATTCTATCTGATACTTGCATAGCATTAATATTTGTATGCTTAATTATCTTGTATTGTTGTATATTATGAATGCTGAAATGTATATATATAAGTGATAATGATGTACTTTGTATATTAACTTCAAAATATGTATAGCTTTTTTTAAGTTACTATTTTAACAGTTAGAGTTAGAGTAAGAACTCTTTTACAAATGTATATACTATAATAGTTTTTTACATATTTGTTTTAATTTGTTTTCATACTATATCACTTTACTATATACTCTTCTGTTATGTATGTAATTATATTGTATTTCCAATATTTAGAATAAATAATATTTAAATTAAAAATTTTAATTATGTAAATATAATAAATAAATAAAATAGGTGTTGTTTTGCACTATAGGTGAGAAACCACTATAGGTTAAAAACCATTATAGGTAAAAAGACTACTATAGGTGAAAAACCACCATAGGTGAAAAACCACCATAGGTGAAAATTACCATAGGTGTGTTTAGTAAAATTCTTTTATAATATTAAGTATTCTTTAAAATTTTATAAAAATAGTTTTTGCTTAGAATTTTAAACTAGATTTTATATAATAAAAATAAATTTTTGAATTTTTTTTAAATTTTAAAATATCTATTGCTTAAAATATATTAGCTTAAATAATAAAATTATTATTAATTTTAGCAAATTGACTTAGTGTAGTGGTCTAGTCATCACCCTCTTCAAGTGGCAGGTCTAGAGTTCAAATCCCACGAATGATGATTTTCAAAAATTAGGCTTGTGTTTGGTTAACGGCTATGCTTATCGGTTAGATCTAATTTGTAACTTCGGTCATACCATCTAGTAATGGGAGCAATAGTGCAATAAATCCAAGGAACCGGCATAACCAAAAACCCATTTTGAAAGTTTCGAATTAGGAGTAGCAGTGATCTACAATGGTATCACAAGAGGGCTGAATTCGAACCAGGGCCCGAGATCAGAGAACCGAGCGACCAGGTCCTAATAGCAGAGGACACACTAGCCGAACTGCTGGGTTGTCGCATCGGAGGAAAAGGATATACACTCTGAAAGTATGTACCAAGGGGAAAGCGTTCTTCAGATACCTAAAGCCTGGGCAGACCAACCTTTCCAAGTTGCTAGCTAGAAGTAAAAGAGAGACTGATAAAGAATCCAAGTAAGAAGATAGTCTAAATACAGGTACCAGGGTTGTTGTGAACCTATACAAGGCCGGAAGTAGATAACAGGTCTAATTAGGAAGGTTGTGGTTTGTCGAATTGGGTTGTAGCAGCACCCTTAGGGGTGGCTTGAGATACGAACTTGGTCACAGCAGCATAATTAGTACTAGTTAAATAGGGGTTTAATGGTTAGCCCTGACCCCGAGTGCATAGATTAAGCTGTGGTGATAGGTTACCGAAGCCTGGGTGAATACATGGGTGAGACATGTACTCTAGCAAAAAGTTAGTTACCGGTTTCAATGTTGAGGCTTAGTGCGGTTCCACAACAAAAGTAGTATAGCTATCACATCTAGGGCTTAGTAAAGCAACCAGGTGGGGTCAGGTATTTTTAGTTCTATGGTACTAGCATCTGTCGTTTAGAAATAGTTCTTATATGCTATTTGCCGACAGGCTTAGAGTTTATCACTTACCATCTATGTTAGTTAGCTAGCATCATTTGTACACATGAATTAATTACTAAAAAATAAATATCTGACAAGATATGCCAAAGTTAAAAAAAAAAAAAAAAAAATTTAACAAATTATTTAATAAAATTTTTTTTAAATTTTTAATTTTTGTATAACTTTTGATTACTATATATAGTAATAATTTGCAATTAAAAGTTTATAAAGGAAATAATATTTTTTTAATATAAATTATAATAATTTTTAATAATAGTAAATTTCAAATATTTTTTTATAAGGCAAAAATAAAATAGAGACCCGTCACTATGCGACTCTTATATAATTGACCAATCATCTTAGAAATTGGCAATCTTATAAATAATTGTTTTTTTTTTTTTTTTTAAACATATATTTTTTTTTAACACAAATATATTTTTTTAGAGCCATCGCTAGAGTCGTCGCAGCTGTCGTTGGAGCCGTAGTTGGAGCCTCAGAACTGTCTTAAAGTCATGTAGATTTCTCGTTACTTTGGTGATTTAGTAGGTTTTTTCCATTTTCTTTCATATTTTTTTCGTAGTTTTCATCAACATTTTTTTTCATATTTTTTGTGGGCTCTTCGTCGTTGGAGCCTCAGAACTGTCTGTCTTGAAGTCGCGTGGATTTCTCGTTACTTTGGTGATTCAGGTAGGTTTTTTTCCATTTTTTTTCATATTTTCTTCATAGTTTTTGTCTCTTTGTTATTGGAGCCTCAGAACTGTCTTGAAGTTGCGTAGATTTTTCATTACCTTGGTGATTCAGTAGGTTTTTTTCTATTAAGTTCTTTTATATTTTCTTCATAGTTTTCATTGTCGTCTTTTCTCAATTTTTTGTGGGCTCTTCGTCATTTTTGGTGGTTTATTCAGGGCTCTTTGTCGTTTTTTTGTAGGTTCTTCCGATAAATTCGTCATTTCTTGGTGTTAATTTTTATTGGTTTTCGCTAGATTCGTTATCAGTTTTCTTTGGTAAATTTGTCATTTTTCGGTGTGTAGGTTCACCATTTTTAGTGGGGTTTTCTTTGTCATTTTTTGGTAGGTTCTTCCATAAATTCTTTATCATTTCTTCTAGTAGGTTTTTTTTTTATTTGTGTTCTAACATGTCTCTGCCTCAGTATGTAGGTCTTTGTATTATTCTTTGGTTTTGCCATCTTCATCGCTTTATTCTTTGCCATCTTTGTCACTTATTCTTTAGTGCCGTTTTTGTCTTTGTTCTTGTCCGTTTTCTTGCTATTTCTATTCTGTTTTCTTGTTTTTCTTGTTCCATTTTCTTGTGCCTATTTCGTTAGTTTTTTAAAAAAAAACAATAAATTAAATAAATTAATAAAAAAAAAAAACAATTAAATTAAATTAAAAAAAAACCCCCAATAAATTAAATAAATTAAAAAAAAACTCCTGATAAGTTAAATTAAATAAAAAAAGAAACGATAATTTAAATAAAAAATTAACAAAAAAAAAATAATTTAGAGCTTGGAACTGGTTTATTTTTATATATTAAAACGCTCTTTTTTTAATAAATTTTTACAAGTGTATAACCAATCAAATTCAATCACATGTATCACATGCTCATATCGAGCATGTGATGCATGTGATCGAATTTGATTAGTTGATCATAGAGTCACTATGGTGATGGGTCACCATAAAATAATGCCCTTTTTATAAATAAAACTTTTAAATTATAAAATTTAATTATTATAAAACACACTTATCAGATTCAGGACATGCCCCTTTTATTGCTGTCTATAAATAAAATTTTCAAAAAAACATATAAATTTACTATATAACTTTGAGCTAAGATCTTCTTAAATCTAACTTATTAACTTTAAATTAAATTTTTGGGAAATATAGAACAAGGGGAGAAGAAAAAATTGAGCTTAAAAATTAAATTAAAATTTTCTAATTTTGTACAAAATAAAAAGCCAACTTTTCCAAAATCAAGTATTTTCTGATTTTAAAATAATGAATATATGTAAAAACATGCTCTGAACAACTTTACTTAGAAGTTGGAAGTAGATTATCTTGTAAGAAAAATAAGTTGTCTATATACTAAAGTTAAAAATTCCAGTTTTTCTATATGCAACTTTTTTTTTACTTATATAACTTGCTTTTATCTTCTAAGTAAAGTTGTTTAGCATAAAATTTTACATTTATATAATTTGCCAATTTTCGTTTTCTCAAACCTTTTACTAAGTAAAAAATGAGGTTAAAGTTAGAAAAAAATTTTTTTAAAAAAAAAATTTTTTTTTTTAGAAAAATTTTTTTTTCTAACTTTAACCCCATTTTGCACTTAATAAAAGGTTCGCAAAACTGAAAATTAGCAAATTATATAAATGTAAAATTTTATATTAAGCAACTTTACTTAGAATATACATGCCAACGAAATTATTTCGGGTTCTAAAACCCGAAATTAAAATTTGAAGATGAAATTGTTTTTGATCTATTTTACTTAAAAGACGAAATTTTTTGACACTTTTTTTAAATAGACGAAATTATAAGAAGTATAAATATATAAATTTTATTTTTCTTATAAAAAATTTTAATTTGCTCTAATGGAGATGAAATAGGCCTTTTTTGAAAATCAATTTCAGTAGCATCACTAACTTAGAAAACGAAAGCAGGTTATATAAGTGAAAAAAAAATTGCATATAGAAAAATAAGAATTTTTTACTTTAGTACATATCTAACATATTTTTCTATCAAGGTAACCTACTTTTATCTTCTAAGTAAAGTTGTTCAGAGCATGTTTTTACATAAGGTAGATATATCTAATTTGACGCAGTTCCTAATTTGATGCACAACAATATCTTGTGAACCAATGATCAGAATTATATAATTTTAGTACTATTTGATTTGTCTCGTCGAGACGAATCAAATGGTACCAAAATCATTTGGTTCTGATCGATAGTTCTCGAGATACTCTATTTGACCAAAACAGTCCAAGGTAGATGTATCTAATTTGACGCAGGTAAACGTTTATGGTGGATACCATGTAATATATTGATTGGATTTACAAGATTTTGGTACTGTTCAATTTGTCTCGATGAGACAAATTGAATGGTACAAAAATCTTGTGAATCCAATCAATACATCACATGGTATCCACCGTAAACGTTTACCTGCGTCAAATTAGGCACTATATTAAATTGGCAACATTTTTTTAGCCAAACTTCAATGAATGATATCTCATGATTTGGTGATTGGAATTAGGTGATTTTGGTGCCATTTGATTCGTCTCAACGAGGCAAATCGAATGGTGCCAAAATCATCCAGTTCTGATCAGTAAATTGCATAATATTTATCGTAAACGTTATCTGCATCAAAATAGAGATACTTACCTTATATTTATTATTTTAAAATCAGAAAATATTTAATTTTGGAAAAATTAGATTTTCGTTTTATATAAAATTGACAAAATTTTAATTTAATTTTTAAGCTCAATTTTTTTCTTCTTCTCTTGTTCTATATTCTCAAAAAATTTAATTTAAAGTTATTAAGTTAGATTTAAGAAGATTTTAGCTCAAAGTTATATAGTAAATTTATATGTTTTTTTGAAAATTTTAATTATAAATAGTATTTTGATTTATCTTAAAGAGACATGTCCTGGATCTGCTATGGTGTTTTAGCATCTATGTATAATTTCTTTTAATAAAATTTAGGGTTAGGGTTAGGAAATTAAGAATGATTTTTTTTTTATATAATATATTATAGAGCTAATATAAGGGCCTGATAGGGCCCTCATGAGGTTTTTGGGAGTCCTGAATATTTTTATTTAGAGAACCTGATCTTATTTACTTAGTATGTTTTTGAGAAATAGGACCTATAGTGTAAAAACACTATATATGTGTTTTAGTAAATGTGATAAAATTTATTAATAATTTTATAATATACAAAATTTTAAAAAGTGTACTACAGGTAGTATATTAAAATTTTAAAAAATAGATTTAATTAAAAAAGCTTTTTTTAAATAAATTAATTATTAATTTTAATAAATTTAATAGAATTAAACTAGAATATTAAATAAATATTTTTGCTAAAAAGTTTTTAAATTTATAATTTTTTGGATTTTTTATAAGTTTTTAAAGCTGTACTACCTGTAATACAAAAAGTGTACTGCTATCTATTAAATTTAGTAATATTAATAATATTTATGAAGTAATAGTAATTAATAGAATATATTATTTAAATTTGGGATTATTTAAATATTAAATTACTTTTACATATAATTTTTTAAAAGATAAATATAACACTTCAATTTTGAATATAATTGATAATAAATTAGCTAATATTTCAAGTTTTCTAGAACTTTAAAAATGAACTTTAATTATTTGCTAGAATTACTACAAGTGAATATCACAATTTTATAAAGATTATAATATTTGTTTTAGATAATCTAAATGTTGGTATATGAGGGTGAGTTAGTAGAAATAGGACAAATTTATCTAATAAATTTGTTCCATTTCTACTAACTCACCTCATATATTAAGAGAAACTCTTTTTAATGATCATTTGTTTCAAATTTTTCTAAAAACTTTTCTTAATAAATACATTATATCTAGTTGAAAAATAATAAGTAAGATAAGTTAGAAAACCTTAGTATCTGTTATTTAGAGGTAGTTCTTATATACTACTTGCTAACAGGCTCAGAGTTTATTACTTATTGCAGTAATAGAAAGTACTTGTTGTTTATAAGTAGTTTTCATATACTACTGCCAACAAACCTAGAGTTTATCACTTACTTGTTAATATTTTTTTAAGTACCTGCTCTTCGCTTGGTTAACAAGTCACTAGTATATTTTGCAAGAAAAGTATATATACTCTTGGTTTAAAACTAGTAGTTCTTTTTACCTATATCACCTCTTGCCAACCTCACCAAAATTTTTTGACAAAAGTGAGTATTCTAACTTACCTTCTCCAAAAGATCAATATTTGTTTACTTTCTTTTTTTGAATATGCTTAGTAAAGTACAATATGGGATTGGCAAACTTATGTATGTTTGTTTTGTTACAATACTATAGCCTTTTTGATATTGTTATAGCAAAGGGGGTATCTATATATAACGTTATATACCTCTACATAGTAGCTCTTGACCCCCCCCTAGACTATATAAAAAATTTTTAAAAATCCATATATTTATATATATAATTTTACAAAAACTTGGATATATTATGACCCAATGATCCAATCAGGATGTTTTGGTGCCATTCAATTCATCTCTTTGATATGAATCCAATGGTACTAAAAATCATTTTATTTGGATCACTGGATAACGTTTTATTAACAAAATACTATTGATTTTATAGTAATTTTATAAGAAAACATAATAACCAATAATATTTCGTTAATAAAACATGCTCCAGTAATCCAAATCAAATGAAATTGATACCATTCGACTCCTCTTCTCAAGAGGATTCGAATGGTACCAAATCATCCAATTTGGACTACTGGATCAAATTTTAGACAAATTCTTATAAAAAAATTGCATTATATTTTAGGAGACCCCCTCTAAATATTGGAAAATTGTTATATTTTGGGAAACCCCTCCCCCTCAAGCATAATGTTATTTATAGATGCCTCCAAAGTAATAAGATTACTCAGTGTAGTAATATACTTTATGAATATACACAAGATGGATATGAAGTATAAACTTTACTTTATAGCAGGAGACAAACAATTCAAGATAATAACAGTTTATAGAGATGATAATATTTATTAATAACAAGTTTATAGTAATATTCTTTACTATAAGAATAACCTAAAAAGAGAATATTACACTATAAAAATATAAGAAGGGTAATAGAGGTAGTTAGATAAGGCTAGATTTTATAAGATGGTAGGAAACTCTAACTTGAATAGAAGGAGCAAAGGCTCTCTTTTTATAACTTTTCCACACATAAGAGGTATAATAGTATAGCTGCCAAACCATGTAGAGGTACTAAAAAGTACTCATGCAGAAATACTGAGAGGTACCTATATGGAGGTATTAAGAGATACTCATATGCAGTGTTGTATATGAAACAATTTTGGACAATTTTGAATATTTTTTTTCAAATTAAAATTACTCAA